AATAATAATAATAATAATGGGTAAAGGGTGCCTTTCTCAACCCAAAGTTTTGCTCCATTAATTTTTATTAAGCTTTTAATGCCGCCTACTGTGCCCCTTTATTAGCATCTCATATGTATGTGTTGTTTTTCAAAACTATTTTTTAAAACTATTATTTCATAAGGATGACACTACCCCCCTACTCCTACCCATGAGGTCTATTCTATAATGCTGTGGCAGGGCCATGCCAGGAATTGAGTTAAATGTCATGGAATTCTTGGGAACATTGAAACAGATACCCAACTACATCCTTGATTGCATGGGGCCCAGAAATCTTGCAGGACAAACTATGAATTCATTAGACACTTCACAATATGCACAAACCTGTCTGATAGAGGGACCCCACAACATTGAGGTTAAATCGGTGCTCTGGAACCAAAATGCCCGGTTTGAAGCCTGGTTTCACCACCTACTAGCTGTATGATTTATAGCAACTTATTTAACTTCTCTTGCCTCCGTTTACTCATCAGTTAAAGGGTGGTTGTTACTAACAGAATCTTCTTCAAGATCTTCTGGGAATAAACCGATAGCTGTAAAGTGCTGAGAACAGAGAGAGCACTTGCAGTGCAGTGTGTTGCTTTCTATGGCTCTTCTAGCCACTTTTCCCAACACCCATCAAATAACCGGGTGCTTGTGGGCCACCAAAAGGAATGCTCAGAATGTAAAAAAGGCACATAGCACATAGTTTGTTGTTAGGTGCCAGTGAGTCAGTTCCAACACATACCAACCATCTCGATATCGGAACAAACCACTGCTATTAGATTTGCGTCCAATGTTGCAGCTTCTGTGTCAATCCTTCTCCTTGAGGGTCTTTTTCACTGACCCTCTATTTGACCAAGCATGATGTCTTTCTCCAATGACTGGTCTCTCCTGATGCCCAAAGGACATGAGATAAAGTCTTGACATTCTAACTTCTAGGAAGCATTCTGGTTTTACTTTCTCTAAGACAGATACTCTTGTGACAGTCCAGGATACATTCAACATTCCTTTCCAACACCTTAATTTATGGGCATCGGTTCTTCTTCAGTCTTCCGTATTCATTGTCCAGCTTTCTCATGCCCATGTAGCCATTGAAGATGCCTTGTCTTGGGACAGGTGCACCTTAGACCTCGAAATGATAGCTTTAATTTTTAGTATTTTCAAGAGATCTTGTGCAGTAGATTTTCCCAATGCAATAGCTCCTTTGATTCCTTTAAAAATATTTTTTTTCATATGATTTCTTGATCGATGTGTCTGTAACTGCTGACTGTGGATCTAAGTAAAATGAAATCCTTGACAATGTCAATCATTTCCCTCTTATCCATGATGTTGTCTACCCTGTTTCCCCAAAAGTACGACATCTCCAAAAATAAGACCTACTTACAGTTTTGCCTCTCACTGAAATATAAGGCATCCCCCCCCAAAATAAGACCTCCCTGAAAATAAGGCCCCCCGAATCTGGACTCTGGACCATAGTGGCCGATGCCACCGCACAGTTCACTGTTGGCCACAGGGCAGTCGGAGCAGGCAGGAAGTGTGAGGTCTCTTTTAATAAAACAATAAACAATAAATGTGTACCATATTATTCTTCATGGAAAAATAAGACATCCCTGAAAATAAGACCTAGCGCATCTTTGGGAGCAAAAATTAATATAAGACACTGTCTTATTTTCTGGGAAACAGGGTATGAGTCTGGTTCTGAGAGCTTTTGTTTTCTTTACATTGAGTTATAATCCATATATTACAGCATCAATAAGTCACCTTTACTTTCACCAAGCAAAGTTATACCATCTGCCTCTAAAAATAATGTGTATGGGCCTTGAGGACGATGATCCCAATTAGACAATTAGAGCAGCCAGTCCACAGAGAGGACCACATGGCAAGCCCCACTACAAGACATGACACTCCTCACTGACCCATGGCCCGGTGGGGGACAGCACCTGAGACACAGTGTG